ACCAGGATGGTCTCGATCTCTTGACCTCGTGATCCACCCGCCTTGGCCTCCCAAAGTGCTGGGATTACAGGCGTGAGCCACCGCGCCCGGCCTCCTTAGGGGTGTTTTCACATGAACTACTGTTAACCTAGAAGGGACCTTTGAATTTCTGAACCCAGATGCAGGTCTTTCCATTTTCCCTAATACATATAATCTTTTTTTTTTCTTTGAGACAGTGTCTCACTCTGTCACCCAGGCTGGAGTACAGTGGCATGATCTCGGCTCACTACAACGTCTGTCTCCTGGGCTCAAGTAACTTTCCTGCCTCAGCCCCCCCACCGAGTAGCTGGGATTACAGGTGCAAGCGACCACATCCAGCTAATTTTTTTTTTTTTTTTTAACTTTTAGTGGAGACAGGGTTTCACCATGTTGGCCAAGCTGGTCTCAAACTCCTGACCTCAGATATTCCACCTGCCTTGCCCTCCCAAAGTGCTGGGATTATAGGCATGAGCCACTATGACTGGCCTGCTCTTGTTACTTTTGATACAGGATTCCAGGTAGCTTGCTAAAATAAAATATTCTTCCTATTGAGCTAAAATTAGTCTTCCTGTCACTTCTGATTGTGGTCCATCAGTCAGCTGTCCCACCAGCCTCCTGACCATCATGCAGCCTTGCATTTTCTCCCAATAGGTTTTCCCAAAATAAATATGTTCCTGCTCATGTAACTCAGCCTCTCATGTCCAGCTCTTTGGGAATACTGGTCTCAGATAGAAGTTGGCTTAAGTCGTAAAAATCATCAGGGAGCTAAAGGAAGATTCAGTGATTGTCTGGTCCAGGCTTCCCATTTTACAAAAGGGAAATCACAACAGACTAGGGGAGAAGAGTTGCTCAGGTCAGTCCGCAACAGTGGCAGGACTAGAAACCAGGTCCCTTCCCTCTTTTATCCAGGGTTCTTTCTTCTTTCCCATGGATAAATTCCTTAAGCAGTGTGTGCCTCAGTTTCACCATCTGTAAAATGAGGTTGTTATGAGGATTAAATGAGTTAATTCATGTAGAGTGCTTAAAACAGTCTGGTACTTGGTAAGGGTTCATTATGCTGTGCTGCTTCCTAGTGCAGTAGAGAAGCAGCAGTTACTCACTCTTCCCTCCCTTTCCCGGGTAAAAAAGAGTAGAGGCACATGAATTATGTAGTAAGCGGTCCTTCATACATTAAGAAGTGATCCTTTGTATATTAAGAGGAAGCTGCTCTCCCCTCTCTCCATTGAGGGGTGTGTATTGAACAAATTTCTTCCAAGAAATTTGTGGCTTACCCATCCTCTGGGCTTCAAGCCCTCCTGGAGGTGGCTTCTTTGCTTTCCTCTTTCCCTCTGCCCCTCTAAAGTGGCAGAAGAGGAGGTAATGAACAGGTTTGGGTTCAAATCACGGCTTTACTATTTCCCAGATATGTGATCTTGGACCAGTTTTACTTAACTCCTTTGGAGCCTTAGTTTCTTCATCTGCAAAAGGATAAATAAATACAGCGGAACACACTGCAGCTATAAAATAATGAGGAAACTGTTTTTATATTGATATAAAATATCTCCAGGATATATTAAATGGGAAAAAATAAACATGCAGAGAACAGTCTATGTAGTATACTGACCTACTTCAAAAAAGGGAAAAAACTTTTTGCTCATATATGCACTTAAAAAAAAAATCACTCAGTGTACTATTACACTGGTATTTTTTCTTCTTCTTCTTATTTCTCCAAGAAAAGCACACTGGTCTTTAAGAAAAAAAAAAAAAAAGAAAAGAAAAAATCTGCTGGGCATGGTGGCTCACACCTGTAATCTCAGCACTTTGGGAGGGCAAGGTGATCACTTGAGGTCGGGAGTTCAAGATCAGCCACCTGACCAACATGGTGAAACCCCATCTACTAAAAATACAGAATTAGTAGGGTGTGGTGGGTGCACACCTGTAATCCCAGCTACTCGGGAGGCTGAGGCAGGAGAATTGCTTGAACCCAGGAGGTGGAGGTTGCAGTGAGTCGAGATCTCACCATTGAACTTCAGCCTGGGCAACAAGAGTGTAA